CTAATTTTACATTTCCGGAAGACAGTTCAGTCGATCGTAGTTGCCAGGAAATCAGGAATCCAATTTCAATCAGTATTATTTTGATTTGCAATCTTTTTACCAGGTCGCTGGCACCTATGATCGGGTAAATTATCGCTGACGGAGTATTTTTCGAAACAAGGAATATCGAGTTTGATAAAAAAGCCGGCATTACGATTAGGGATCGCGAGTAGTGCGATCACGCGTTTCATTCTTGAAGTAAGTTGAGTTTTTCGACACACCGCGCCCCTCGAGTTCCACCCCCATGGAGAAGCACGCTCTTTGGTGAGTACATGATTTCTATGTTATATTTATGTTTCATTTTTATATTACCTCATATACTATGTGTTCTGGTTATTTTGTCTCGTTGACGCTCGACATCTTTTGTTTTTGTATTTTTCACTCATTTTTGTAGTCCTTCAATTTACGCCCCAATGTGAGCTTATGATTGAATAAAAATTCATGAATTTGTTAAGTTGAATCTAGCCCCATTATTCTGCTGCCAAGCGAGTAACCCCTCACTGGTCATAGGTTTGAATGTCTCGGGAAGGATTATGGGTACTCACAATTCTACCCCTAGAGATTTAAACGTGACAATATAAGGTTAGCTTCACGAAGTTCATTAACAATTGCCACTATTTCATTATCAAGTGATGTGTTTCCAGCTTCCTTAGAAGCAATAAGTAGTTTCAAGCGGTCTACGAGTCCATTTGGATCGTCCCAATAGATATATTCCACGGGGTTTTCGTTGTACGTCAAACCACTACCAATCGTTGAACGCCTACCGCTGTTTTTTCGCATCTGTACAATGAGTGGCTTGATGACGTTCGTATACTTCCATCTTTTAGAACCTTTTAATTTCCTATCCTTGTTTATATAGCGATCACTCAGCTTCAAAATTTCCTTGTGAGCCTGCATATCTTCATCGTTATAATCTGAAGGATCATCATAGAAAATGAGCTGATACACCCCTATATCTGATCTATTTTGTCGCTGTAATCCCAATGTTCTCTGAGATATGGATGCACCATGACTGGGTATTGGTCTAGGTATTCATCGATTACATTATACGGAATACTTTGTTCTGGAGCGATATCTTCGTTGAACAGGATATCATCATCAAATTCGTATTGATCATCATCCACAAAACTTCCGGTTCAACCCACCTCTTCCATTGGAATGAACTGCGTTTGCTGAGGCTGTTCTTCTTCTTTGTTTAGTTCAGGTGGCTCTTTTTTCTTCATACCGGTGCTAAACTGGGCTCTTGCCAGTAAATCACGATTGGCCTTTGACGTTTTCACAATTTCTTCCAATGGTTTGGATATGGGCTTGAACATTTTGTTCAGCGATTCGTCCTCCTCAGATTTACCCAGTTTCAAGGCCAAGTACTTTTTCCTGATTGTGCGCGTGAGCTCTGCTATTTTCCGTTTACGTGCTGCAGCCTGATCGTCATCACGTTTGGATGGCATTCTTCTTCTGCGCATGACTTGACTTGACGACCTCATGATGTCGAATGACGTGTTTACACTTTTATATATCTGTCGAAACCTTGGCGATATCTGCCGTTATGCGAATCAAAATCCTTGACAATCACTAGAGTACCATATGTGACACTCCAACATTCGAAGCACAATTTTTTGAAGTCGTCAAAGCTCATGTCTGGAGAGACATGTTCATCAAACACATGCTTCAAGTTGATCTCGTCCTGTTTGAACAGCACCACCATGTTACAATTGCCTCTCAATAATTGCTTAGGAATTTCAGAGTAAGTTTGGCAAAAGTAGGCAGCATCGATATCTTTGTGTCTACACATTGAAAAATATTCTCGAATTTTTTGTTGCTCATCACACGCCACAGCGTCAAATATGAAAATCGAGTTGGGTCTCGCCTCAGATGGGCTTATTATTTCATCGTTGTCTCTGTACGGGAAATATCCAACCTTCTTCACTGCATCCAACACCTCTTGAAGTAGCTGATATTTCGGTTGATACAACGACTTGGAGTACACATAGACATTTTTGAATCTCGCGCCATTTCGATTGAAGAGTAACGATAGCATGGCGTTTGTCTTGCCATAACCACTCGGTCCACACATGATTGCTCGAAACGGGTTGGGTAATAATTTTCTATGTTTATTCGGTGTCCTTGGTGACGTGTGAAGGTCCAAATTCTCGATAGGTAGCGTCTGGTATTGTTGAATGACTTTCATCTCGTGATAGAGGTGCAAAGACTCCAATGATTGTGTACGAGGGGGAGGGTGTTTTGTATTTTCTCATAAACAAATTACCATTCGAGGTACACGTACCTGGTGGCTATCAATACTGTGGACGTAAGTACGAAAGTGAGGTTAGAGATTGAATAACTGATTTTACGTTATAGCTGGAACCAAACTTCAGAAACGGCTTGCACGTGGTGATCCTGGCATCAATCCCTTAGACGTTGCCTGCAAACAACACGACATTGCATATTCTCAGAACACGTCTTTGGACGAACGTCATAAAGCGGATTCGGTGTTGGGAAACGCTGCCTGGGAACGCGTGAGGACGAGAGACGCCAAGTTCGGTGAAAGAGCTGCAGCATTAGTAGTTACTTTCGGGATGAAGGTGAAACGCAAGCTCGGGATGGGATGTTTTTTCGAAAAACATATCGTGGGAAAAATCGGGAAGACGTTGAAGAAGAATCCCTTGACCAATTTGAAACAGGCTGCATCGTTTGCTTCGAAAGCTGCTTGGCATGCCGTTAAACAAGCAGGTGGAAGGAAAAAAGTTAAAATACCACGAATAAGTCCTTTCGATGCCAAATCCGATGGGATTCTACCACTTCTACCAATCTTTGCTGCTCTTGGTGCACTAGGATCTCTAGCTAGAGGTGCTGGAGCAATCGCAAAGAATGTTATTGACGCCAGGAATGCGAAGAAAAATATGGACATAACAAGGCTATGGAAGCTATTGGCAAAGGACTGTACTTGAGAAGAAACGCCAAAGGAGTTTTCGGCTTGTTTTTGAAAAAGCAAAAAAACTTCCGATGAAGCTACCCAATCGACCGTTGTATGATGTCGAGTTGACAAAGTATGTTGAATATTTGAGAATGCCACATTTTCGGGGTGTTTTTATGCGTGACAACTTACCAAGCAGTGGACCCTGTCAACGCGAATCTGCAATCCTAAATTTGGACGTGTCAAAGAACCAAGGCACTCATTGGGTTGCTTACAGAAAGATAAATGATGTCGTCGAGTATTTCGATTCATTCGGTAGCCTGAAGCCACCGAGAGAACTTGTCCAATATCTGGGCAAAGTCAAACTCTATTACAATAACGATCCATTCCAGAAATATAATTGAATCAACTGTGGTCATCTCTGTCTGGAGTTCCTGTACAATGGAAGCCGTTTTAGCATATCTCTACCATGAGAAGGCGTTGCAAGACTTTTCCGCAGAAGAATTGGCACTCTTTCCCATCAACTATCTGATCCAACATGTTAGGCCTTGGGAACTATTGGATGTTTGGCATGAATTACCACAGGACTATAGGAAGAACTTTGATCTGAATGTCATGGTTGTAATTATTTCTTGAAGTGTAGAGTTGTCTTGGAATTAATATTCATAAGTATAGCTGTGTGTCATTAGGTACGTCATGTCTCTACTGCTGACCTTGTCGAGTACCACCAACCAGTTCTCTTTCACACCCTCCTCACCGATACTACTGCACCCTCTGGAAAGCTATTACATAGCTGTACTAGGATTTCACAGCTATCAACGATAATCGTGAAGTGCTGAAAGAGATTCAGTTTCCGACCGGCTGTTATGAGATAGAAAATATTGAGGATTACATTCGGAGACAAATCCAAGAAGCTGATGCAGATTTCACTTTGAAGCCCAACAACAATACTTTGAAGTGTAAAATCTATAGTCGACAACATACCATCAGTTTTGAGGAAGATAACAGCTTTGGTGAGTTGTTGGGATTCTCGAAGAGGATCTTGAAACCTGGCCGAGTTCACTGTTCAGATCGTCCTGTGAACATTCTGAAAGTATCAAGCCTTCATTTCGATTGCAACATCACTGAAGGGTCGTTTTATGCAGACAGGCCTGCTCACACTATATTAAGCTTCCCCATCACCGTAGATCCTGGTTACGCTATCAACGAACGTCCAAATACACCTCTCTATTTACCTGTGAGAAGTAGCCTGAGAGACACCTGAGACCTGTTATTTTCCGAGGAGAAAAGGGCACCCTACACTTGGACTTGCAAGAACGTTGAATGAGTCTAGTAGTTGATAATAAAAGGTCAACCACAAACTCCTCAGTATCAACGCGACGTCCTAAGAGACAGGAGCTCACTCCAGAAAACGTTTTCTTCCTGCAAGCAATCGGATTACGAGTGAAAAATAAACAAGCGCAAGTATATTCGTTCGGAAGAATCAACAGCACCAACATTCAACCACACAAACCCAATTTTCGATCTGTATCGTCGGCCCAGATATGATGAAACCATTCGAAAAAAAGAATATCGCTCCTACATCCCATACGTCAAATCCTTCAATAACAATGATATGGTGGAAATCAACATGAATCAAGCAGACACATTCTTTGCAATGCATGAGTCTTTGCTGGAAATCAAAGAAACGTTGAATGTGCAAGGAGCTGAAAGTGTGTACTTGGCCCCCAACTGTGGAGCATTTCTATTCGATTCTTGCAGTTATGTGCAGAGTGCAAGAGAGATAGAAGTAGTCAGAGATCCAGGGATTGTGAGTAGTGTGCGAGGATTTATGTGCTATAAACCTGATGATTCCAAACACTTATCCACAGCCGGATGGACGTATCCTGATAAACCGCTTTTGAATGCAATTTACAAGACATACAGTTTGTTGATACCACTAAAGCACCTGTTCAACGTTTTCAATGACTACACCTCAATCACCTATGGAAAACAAACAATCCGTCTGATTCGAGCTCGTAATGATAACGATTGCGTGATTGTACAGGAACTCCCCAATGGACCTACAACCACTACTACTACAGTTGAAGTACAAATACATAGTGTAGTGCTAAAAGTGAAGCACGTATTTCCGAACGATGAAATCAAACTACAACTGATGCAACCCATAAAAAATTATACACCTATACTGATTTCATTCAGGAAATGGGACCTCAGCCAATTGCCTGCTCTTACAAACGGCGCGAAAAGTGAGATTTGGGCAGTCAAAACGAGTGCTTCGGTGGAACGTCCTCGGTACGTTATTGTGTGCTCCCAGAAATCTAAACGTGACAATGCAGAAGCTGATGCTACCCACTCTGATAACACGGGCAAAGTTAGTATCAGATTAGCCCTCAATGGTGAATATTGGCCTGATGAGAGAATGCAGCTGGATTTTGCTAAACAAGACTACACCCTTGCTTACTACAACTATACCAGGTTCTATTCGAGCTATTCACATTCGGCGGTGGTTCACTCAATCTTGGATTATGAAGAATTCAAACAGCATGCATTATTTGTGATTGATTGCTCGAGGCAGAAAGAGACCATGAAATCATGGACAGTTGATATAAAGCTTGAAATCGAAGCCGATAAAGGATTCCCTGCTGACACCAAAGCCTATTGCATCATCGTACATTACTGTCTGCTAGAGTACTTTCCTCTAACGGAAGTCGTCAGAACCTTGATTTGACTATATATACCAACTGCAAACTGCTCGAGCTCGCATTCGATCGTCAGCCGTCATGAGGATCGCACTTGTCGACATTCAAGGCTTCACTCTTGACAGTGTTTTCCACCCGAAAGAGCTGACCATTCAAATTGGCCGCCAGAGATCCAACTTCCTATTCAAACCGCGTACACCGTTTGCTACCATTAGTGGACGTGACAAGAAAACTACACGTTATGTGGAGAAATTCGTCCATGGAATACCATATGATGCTGATGATGTTGAATATACGGAGCTGAACGACATTCTGGAAAAATATCTATTGCATTCGGTTGAATGTATGTACGTGAGGGGCAATCAGAAAGCTGACTTTTTGAAGAGGAAATGTGAAGAACTTGAAGTATTCCCAAATGTATACGATGTTGCTTTGTATGATGGGACACCCTGTTCCAGTAAAACCTACCAGCAAAATATATCATACTGCCCCAACCACGCCAATGGAAAATATATGTGTGCCCAGCGGAACGTTGATCAACTTTACCAGTGGTTTATAAATGTAATAATACCTAAATGAAGATGTACTGTGTTTGGCTCGATAAACATTATGATAAGGATTGGAGTTTTATTGAAACACCTTGTATAAGTTCCATCATTTTATTCACGATATATGTACCCAGCTTTCCTGAGGAATTTCACAATCAAAACAAACGTAGCTGCTAATGTCAAACCTAGTAATATGAACATTTTATTAAATTCATTCTGTATTCCTGTTGTTGGGGCTCCTATAGTTTGCCAGTCGGTATCCTCTTCAGATCCACCGGAAAACATCAACTTGAGTTTGAAGAAGGAATTATTCGTCTCTGGTATCTCTTTGTAGAATACTGGTAGACATCCATTGTTCACCAACTTATTCCGCATCGCTGTCCACGATGATCGATTGCAATCTTCTTTCAAGTCATTGAAACATATCGCCATGTTCTTGACATCTTTGGGAACATTTGTATACAATACGTTATTCAAAATTGCTGTCAGAACTATGAATGCCACCCGTGACATTTTGAGGCTGGATGTGTCGTCTCTGCTCAACAGGCACCTCTACTGATGGTACTCTTCCACAGCTGCTGGAAACTTTATCTCACAAACTCAGATTCTCCAATTGAATCAACGCTTTGGTTTTGTCTTCGTACAATGTTATGTCTTTGTTCAGCTGTCGAACCCGCTCCCCAAATTCCTCCAACTTGCTTCTGTACTCGTCTAAGGACATTGTAACACTGATTTGAAGGTCGAGTCTGAATAGTGGTAGTGGTAGCTACGCAATCGCACAGCTGATATAAGCTATTGGGCAGATTCGGCAAACGTTCTCTGAGACATATCCAGTATCCATGATTGAATGGCTCGTGACAACAACAAGTATGAACATGTCTGTTGGATGACTCATCGGCCACCTGCGTCAGAACAATGGACCCATTGTTCTCACAGAGATAAGGATGATGCAATCGGATGAGGTTGTTACGTAATCTAACACCAGCAAATAAAGGCGGCATTGTTCTCGTATAATATTGCGTCGCAATGATTTCCCAATACCCGGAATTCCAAGAAACGCTGACAGTGGCGTCGAGAGAACAAAGGCGGCATTGTTCTAGAGGAAGGCTAGATGACATAATGGCAAACAAAGGCGGCATTGTTCTACGTCGTCGAGATAAGGATGACTCATCGGCAACCTGCAACATGCATATCGGGTGACCATGAAACAAAGTGCTACCAATTCTAGTACTACCAACCTGAATCTGGTGAGCACAGTCAATAGATTGTGACGTCATCCACCACCTTTAGAAAAGAAGAAGAAAAATGTCCTAGAACACGCCCATAAGCACTAGAGTCTAGAGTCCAGAGTCTATAGGGGGCTAAGTTCAGAGTATACTTCAACGTGTCATCTGTCACTTGCCATCTGTCATCTGTTACTTGTCACTTCCGGCGGCCATCTTGTGACGTCACTTCCGTGCAGCCAACACCTTCTACCACAAGAACAATCGTGACGTCACTTCCGGCGGCGGCCATCTTGAGTGAGGCGAAGGTAGGTACACTACTGACTGCAGAGTTACAGTGTAGACATAGTCGAAGTCGAAGTTTCTCGTTCTGCAAATCGTGTGCGTTATACCCGCTTGAAAGTCGTCTCATAGGATCAATGCAAACTTGTCGACTTCAATAGTGTTCATGTGAGGTGATAGGATAGAGGTATATAGTGTGTACGACGAAGAAGTCGATTTATCCCCATTTGCCAATTGTACTCGTTATATACCCTTCAAAGTCGTCTTATACGGTCACTGCCATCGTATCTGCTCCAACTGTATGCATGTCAGATGCTGAACTGCAGAGTTAGAGTGTAAACGAAGTCAGAGTCGGAGTTTCTTGTTCTGCAAGCTGTGTGCGTTATAACCGCTTGGGAGTCGTCTTATATGGTCAATGCAGACTTGTCTGATTCAATAGTGTCGATGTAAAATGATAAGATAGAGAGATATAGTGTGCACACCGATGAAGTCGATGTATCTTCATTTGCATATTGTACCTGTTATAAACTCTTCAAAGTCGTCTCATACGGTCACTGCAATCGTTTCTGCACCAACTGTATGCATGTCATATGCTTGACTACAGAGTTACAGTGTGAACATAGTCATAGTCGAAGTTTTTTGTTCTGCAAACTGTATGCGTTATAATCGCTTGGAAATTGTCTTATATGGTCAATGCGAACTTGTCTGCTTCAATAGTGTTCATGTGAGATGATAGGATGAAGATATATAGTGTGTACGACGATGGGGTCGTTGTATCCCTATATGCCTATTGTACTCGTTATATACCCTTCAGAGTCGTCTCATACGGTCACTGCCATCACATCTGCTCCAACTGTATGCATGTCAGATGCTGGACTGCAGAGTTACAGTGTAAACATAGTCGAAGTTTCTTGTTCTGCAAATCGTGTGCGTTATACCCGCTTGGGAGTCGTCTCATATGGTCAATGCAAACTTGTCGGCTTCGATGGTGTTCATGTGAGATGATACGATAGAGAGATATAGTGTGCACAACGATGAAGTCGATGTATCTTCATTTGCCTATTGTACTTGTTATGAACCCTTCGAAGTCATCTTATACGGTCACTCAAATCGTATCTGCTTCAACTGTATGCATGACAGATGCTTGACTGCAGAGTTACAGTGAGAACATTGACAAAGTCGGAGTTTCTTGTTCTGCGAGCTTTGTGCGTTATTCCCGGTTGGAAGTCGCCTTGTATGGTCGATGCAAACTTGTTTCTTTCAATAGTGTCAATGTAAGATGATAGGATAGAGAGATATAGTGTGCACAACGATGAAGTCGATGTATCTTCATTTGCCTATTGTACTTGTTATAAACCCTTCGAAGTCATCTTATACGGTCACTGCAATCGTATCTGCTTCAACTGTATGCATGTCAGATGCCAGACTGCAGAGTTACAATGTAAACATAGTCGAAGTCGACGTTTTTTGTTCTGCAAACTGTATGCGTTATACCCGCTTAGGAGTCTTCCAATATGGTCGATGTGAACTTGTCTGCTTCAATATTGTCCATGTGATATGATAGGATTGGGAGATTTAGTGTGCGCAACGATGAAGTCGATATATCACCATTTGCCTGTTGTACTCGCTATATACCCTTCAATGTCGTCTCATACGGTCACTGCCATCGTATCTGCTTCAACTGTATGCATGACAGATGCTTGACTGCAGAGTTACAGTGAGAACATTGTCAAAGTCGGAGTTTCTTGTTCTGCGTGGTTTGTGCGTTATTCTCGCTTGGAAATCGTCTTATATGGTCAATGCAAACTTGTCTCCTTCAATAGTGTCAATGTAAGATGATATGAAAGAGAGAAAGAATGTGCACTTCGATGAAGTCGATGTATCTTCATCTGCCTATTGTACTTTCCATATTCGCTTTAGAGTCATCTTATATGGTCACTGCCATCACATCAGTTTCAACTGTATGCATGTCAGATGCTAGACTGCAGACTTCCTGTGTAAACATAGTATTAGTCGAAGTTTCTTGTTCTGCGAATCGTGTGCGTTATACCCGCTTGGAAGTCGTCTCATATGGTCAATGCAAACTTGTCGGCTTCGATAGTGTTCATGTGGGTTGATAGGATAGAGATATATAGTGTGTACGGCGATGAAGTCGATGTATCCCCAATTGCCTATTGTTCTCGTTATATACCCTTCAATGTCGTCTCATACGGTCACTGCAATCGTATATGCTTCAACTGTATGCATGTCAGATGCTAGACTGTAGGGTAACAATTTGAACATAGTCGAAGTCGGAGTTTCTTGTTCTGCAATTCATGTGCGTTATACCCGCTTGGAAGTCGTCTCATATGGTCAATGCAAACTAGTCTGCTTCAATAGTGTCAATGTAAAATGATAAGATAGAGAAATATAGTGTGCACAACGATGAAGTCGATGTATCTTCATTTGCCCATTGTACTCGTTATATACTCTTCAATGTCGTCTAATACGGTCACTGCAATCTTATCTGCTTCAACTGTATGCATGTCAGATGCTGGACTGCAGAGTAACTGTGTAAACATAGTCGAAGTCGAAGTTTCTTGTTCTGCAAATCGTGTGCGTTATGCCCGTTTGGAAGTCGTCTTATATGGTCACTACGATCATATCATCTTCAATTGTATGCATGTCAGATGCTAGACTGCATAGTGACAGTGTAAACAAAGTCGAAGTCGAAGTCTCTTGTTGTGCAAGTTGTGTGCGTTATACCCGATGGAAAGTCGTCTTATATGGACATTGCGAACTCGTCTGCTTCGATAGTTACCATGTGAAATTGAAGGTAGAGAGATAGAGTGTGCACACCAATGAAGTCGATGTATCTACATATGCCTATTATACTTGCAATATACCCTCCAAAGTCGTCTTAAATTGTCACTGCGATCATATCTGCTTCAACTGTCTGCATGTCAGATGCTAGACTGAAGAGTTACAATGTGAACA